CTGTTAAACCTACTTACCCACTACAGTATATGCTGCAATTTATTCTGCAGCATATAGAAGAATCAATGCTTTCTAGAAAATGATAAGTTTGCAAAACAGGAGTCTCGAGCTTAATGAAATTGCATGATGTTCACAAACAAAAAGCAGAGTTTTGAATATGCAGCAGTAGCATGATGTGTGTGGGTGCAAATATCTGAACTGTTGCCACTGTGGCTTATAAATAAACCAACTTGGTGAATCCTCACAGCTGCTTTTAAAGCTGCTCTGGATATGGACAAATCCATTGTTAAAATGGTTGACATAATAATCATTAGTTCATCAATCACAACTGTAATACTCGCTAAGAGTTGTTTTTAGGTCTTTTTGATTTACTTTTTTTTAAACTTTTTTTTAAACCTACTTTGGTTGTTAAAAACAAAGTGTGAGGGATATAAATGTGTTTAAGCAGATGGAGTTTCTTAAGGTCATGATGACAGATGAGCTGTTTCCATTTTTTTCTAATGCGTGAAATTTATCTGGAGGAAGACTTTGAGTTGCTGTTGAAAGCCCTTTGTAAGTGGATTAAAATCAAATGTTGTACAGAATGTTACATAATAAGCACAAGTTCGTTGAGGACTGTTATAGATAAATTGGCTACAATCAATATTTTTATATTAACAATGGATCACATGACGACTCCTATATGAAAGATGAAACTCATGGTGACAAACCCACTGAGTATGATCACAGGACTCTGCAGTTCCCCTCAGCTCTAAGGAGCATTTAAGCATTTTTCACCTTTTTGTTTTGGTTCGCTCTAATATTTTGGCTCAGTCTCACTGCTCTTATCAGTGTCATTTCCAACAGGCAGCTACTTTCAGTGATAAACCCCCCCTACACTGCCTGCCCAGCACAAAGCAGCAGACAAAGTTCAGCTAAAGAGCCAGATATTTCCTCAGGAGCAGGCAGAGACCAAAACAGAGCTAAAAGAAGAGTGAATATTGGACTTATGTTCACCAGGTGGACACAGACATGACTCCACATCAATGATAATGTTGCTCCATACATGCTGGATGCTCACTAAGTTCACTATGTCGGCTTCATATGGTAATACAGTGTTAATGTTAATGCAGGTTTAAGAGGTTTATTAAATTCAAATATGCAACCAATCAGGCACTTGACCTTTCTAGGATTAAATCAGCATTAAAGCTTGTTTTCTTGTAGCTGAGTCAATGACTAAGTGCTGATTTATGTATGAGACAGATAAAAATGTAATGTGTGTTTATTCGATAAATTATCAGAGGGAATCAGATACTGGCCATTTTCAGCATTTTTATGGCTGTATCCTTATGAAACACTCCCACGATCATCTACCTGGAAACCTCTGTCTTTCTCTCTTCTTATATATCTTCTCACCCACCACCCGCTATCCTCATCTGACCCGTGAACCTCAGTGGAAGCGATGCCAGTCCCTGTGGACCACCACAGCTCACCACAGCCCCCCCCCCACACACACACACACACACACACACACACAATAGGAAATCCTCAGCTCCATTTTATTTATTCAAGCCTTCTACTCGTTTCTCTGCAAAAGATAAGTACAGCGAACAGGGGCTGTAGATGGAATTTTCCCCACATAACACTGAACACACACACACACACATACACACACGTACACACAGGCATGAAAGGCTGTTACTATTAACATCTGACCTTGTCCCAGAGCATTCTCCAGCATGAATTTTAAACACGTGCCCTCTTCGCCCAGACCTAAATGACCCCCCTCAGATACCTTGCAAAATTATTCATCACATTGTCATATAACAGTTGCCTCAAGCCAAAATATGGGATGGGTTCCTTACGCCTGATTCCCCGGAGTATTGATCAAAACTGTCAAATTCTTCGGCTGCATGCCAGGCCTTGTTGGAATGAAAAATATCACTGAACCAAAAGGGAGGGAGTGTGTGTGTGCGTGTGTGGGGGGGGGGGCATTCATTTGCACTAGTCATTACAAACAAATCTTAATGGAGGGATACCAGATTTTTATTAATGTGTGTTGTGTGTGTGAGTAAGAGAGAGAGCATGTGCAAAAGTATGCATCTGGGGAAAAAGAAGAGAGGGAACTGTAAAATTGCCAGTACACTAACACCAGCACCTTAGCGACAGGTTTTGACAGCAGTGAGAAAATTCTATCTAATTGAAGGATGTTTGTCAGCTCTCTCACCGTCAAACTGATGTCAGGGGAAAATTGCCTACCAACCATATCCCAGTCTGCTCTACTCCTCCTCCTCCTCCAGCAGCTGCACACTCACTGTCTGCCCATATAGACAGAAGCTTCTTATTCAACCAGTGTATTCTAAGCTCAAAGTAGTGAAAGCACAACAAACCCTTGAAAGATGTCAACTAATGACACTGGCTTGAAAGCGGGTTTGAAGCTCTGCTATCACAGTCCTCTGCACTGATCACACTGTCTGTAGCACATGTACCAAATCTTTCTTTCTGTCTGTCTTGTTCTGCTGGCTGGCTTCTTTCAGCTCAGTGTGTGATACATTACATCAGTTATGCTGCACATCAAGGTAGAGAAGCACACGAATGAGCTGTAATAGAAGTAGTGTATCCTCCAGAATCATTTACACCTATAGAACAGAGAATTAAATGGAGTTCTGAAATTAACTGCGGCTTCACTGTTCAGTTTCTCTTTGTGTAAACAATATACTGTATTTGCATACAAGCCCTATTGAAAATGCGCATCTACAAATTTGTCTTTTTTCCCTTGTATACTGTGTTTCATTCACATGCTGTTACCAAAAAGGAACGAATGATTGCCTTATATATGACTTCATTTCACCAAGGGATGAAGAAATATATAGAAAATAATCTGACTCTCAAAAAAAACAAAAACAAATCTGATTCCCAAAACGAAAACATATGGTATATGATAGATTATTGAAAAATAATAATTAAATGAAATATGTGAATAAACCAGAAGATACTGATTATTATATAAGGTCATGTCCTAAATTTCAATAAATAGTTCAAGGGATCAGTTAGTGTGTAATTATGACACTAGTGTCTGCAGAAAGAAAATGAAATAGTGACACTGTGTGGTTGTAGTATGTAAGTGAAAATAGACAGTATACAGTATAACCAGTGGTAGAAGTATTCATAGTAAAATGTTCAGGTAAAATTCCTGCATTCAAAAGTTTACTGAAGTTAAAATAGACAAGTATTAGTAGCGGCATGTATTTATTATATTATTAAATAAACATACAGTGTAGGCCTATTGGCAACTAAGTGTTTATGAGCTGCAGTTAATGGATTTATTAATAGTTGATCAACTATTTACTAATGTTTTATAGATTCATTATAGGCCATTGAGAAGAACAACTTTTCGGGTTGCCAGGTTATGGGAAATCATCCTCCAGCATGACACTTTGTTCTTTAATTAATTAGCTCTAATCTCTGATATCTCATTTTCTAATAAATCACGTTTTGGGTCACAGGTTTCCAGTCCCTCACAAGGTATCAATATAAGTTTTTTTTTTTTGTTTCAGGTCAGTTTTTGAACCCCCCGTTGTGTACGGCTTCCGGGTGATGGATTTAAGAGTGAACTAAAAAGACAAAGAAAATATGGAAGAGGATGATTTCAAAAGTTTATTAATGGCTTATAACTGATCTATAAAGCATTAGTAACTGATTTATTTACCTTTAGTAAGGTTACAGCCTGTAAACCCTGAAATATGGTGCTATATTAGAAAGTGGTGCCCATATATTACATTATTGATTTTGTATCATTCATACATTAACTTGGTTGTACACACTATTGGGTTAGTTTGGTATTGTTTAATTAATAACAATGCAGCATATTAACCATAAACTCCGGATATGTTTTGCATGTAAAGTAACAAACAACTAGCAAAAAATAAAAACCCGCGAGTATCTTACAAGTACCTCACAAAGTGGTTATGGCCTGCAATTATTGGCTTTATTAATAGTTAATAAATTATTTACTGTTTTATAGACTTATTATAAGCCATCCACTGTGTGAGGGGGAATGTATTTTATTACTTTCTGCCACTTTATAGAATGTGTTTGGTGCTGCTTTAAAGTTGATTTATTTTGTTCTTGACTGTGTTGCTGTTAAGATTTAAAATTAGACTTGTTTCCATAGAGGCTTAAGTCTCTGGTCAAACAGTCATTAATAAGCTTTCTGGATTTACTTTTGGTAAAAGCTCAGCCTTGTTGACCAGGAGATGGCAGCATGAGTCATTTCCAATGGCTCCTTTAACAAGGACATGATCTACCTCCATTATCTACCTATTACTGTATTTCACTTTTTGCCTAATTAAGGTTAAGCGGGAAACAAAATGTCTCGCTATTCATCCACATTTGAAATGTTTTTACTTTGTAACACACGAGCCACACACAGATGTTTTATGTTGGGTTTTTTTTTTTTTTTTTATTAAGTTACACTGATAATGTATTAATGGCAACAGAGTGAGCTGTGCTGTTCTCTGAGAGGTGAGAAACACAGCTGGGTATTGGATGGTTGCAATATGCCACAGTTTGAGATGTAAAACACACTGATGCAGAAAATGATACTGTATGAGCTGTTATACAAACACACAGTGTGAGCAGGTGTTTCAGCAAACACAGTGACAGTCAGTCAGTGCATGCTGGAGCAGGTTTGACAGAACTTTGTGGCATAAATGTTTCGATAATTGTTGGGCTCAGTTGGAGATCACACATTTGGCCTTTTGTTATGATGTTGAATTACTGGAAAGACTGAGACTTTAATGAGGTAATAAAACTCTCTTCAAAATAAACCAGCTGGATAATATCAGGATGGAACAAGAAACCTTGTACAAACAGGTGCCTTTTTTCCTCCTCACTTTGTAGAACATGATATGGCCTTAATGCAACAGTCACGATGATTCTGGGCAGTAAAAGTTCAGCTGATTAGTCATTTTGTCCCAGTAAAAGTGTCACCAGCTGCAACATGTCAGTCTTGGCTTCTTTCATAAATGTGGATTAAAGTAAGTCGGCTGGACGAATCCACTGGACATGAAGGGATGCAGGAGCCCCCCAGTGGATGAAAGCGGAACAGCACCGGCCGTGTGAAAGATCACATTCCCAGAGCTGAAGTTCGGGAAAGTTTGGTGGAAGCTGGCGCTGGCGGGGCTTGACCCACAGGTGGCCGGGTTTGGACTGACATTGACCAGGGAGGTGGAGCCGGGCTGCAAGGTGCTGTCCGCCCCTGGGTTCTGTTTTTTCCACTTGGTCCTCCTGTTCTGGAACCAAATTTTCACCTGGGTTTCGGTCAGGCTCAGGGACAAGGCCAGGTTTAGTCTCTCGCACACAGACAGGTACCGAGTTGCGCGGAACTTGTTCTCCAGTGCCACCAGTTGCTCGTAAGTGAACGCTGTTCTGGCGCGCCGTGGTTTGGCGCAGGCCTGGTCCGGGCGCCGCCGCTTGTGCGGGGAGGGGACCTGTGGGGTGACCGCTGACTCTCCATCCTCCTGTTCCCCAGTGAGACAGGGCTCTGTGTCAGCCGGCGGTGAGAGCAGAAGAGGGTCCGCCACAACTGTATGATGTCTGGAGGCTGTAGAGTGTTCATCTCCTGTCTCTTCCCCTGTTAACAAACAAAGAGCAGTTAGTTCACAGCCTGTAAACCTCTGCAGCAAACTCAACATCTAAGGGATCTTGTGAGGAATCTCTTGATGTCAGGGATAGGCTACTATTAGTATTTAATTTCCTGGTGAAAATTGAAGTTGTTAGGAAAGTTATCAGCCATTGAAACAGAGGTGGCTGACCCATCCATTCGTCTTCAAGTGGCAACAGCTTTTTCAGGGAAATATATCAAGTGCTTTAATCAACTGCTAAAGATAACAGCAGCTTTTGACATTACGGCTTGACTTGGCTGGAATAGGCTTAAGTTCAAGGTGAACTTTAAATCATTGTTTTTAAGAAGTCGATCCAGTGATGGACCTATTTAATAAATTGCTAATGAAGTAAAATAGAGATAGAAAATTGCAATTTGTCATGTGTCTCGTTTTGATTAATAGGGAAAAGGCCTAAAAGCAAATGTGCTGAATTGGCCGTGGTGCTGAGGACAGCTCCTGAAGACAGAAGCCTCGTGTCAAATGTAAAAGCTGAAGGCCCACACACCTGAGTTAGAAATTTTATCCTCATTGTGCAATGATGTTCCTTTTTGTCCAGTGTGAACTGAGGTTTGAATACCAAACACAGAAGTGCCTACGGTTGACATCTGTGAAGTGTTTGATGAGGATACTGACGTCGTCCGAGCGAAACGGCGCAAAGACTCAGAGGAGGGGGAGACTTGGTCACTAATCCTTAAATAATTTATAAACCACACAGCGCCTCAAATGTCATGTTGCGGAAAGAAATCCCGTCTAAATCCAGCTCCGCCACCTCAGCCGTGACGTGCTAATGGAGTTTCATATTTGCGGGCGGATCGATAAATGTCATCTATTTAAAGGGAAGTTTTAATCGAACGATATTTAGGATCAGACATGGATGGGGTGTGAAGTTTGTACCTGCAAGGTGCTGGAGGGAGATATGCAGGATGCAGTAATGGGATATCGATCAAAGCGCGCAGAGGCATCCTCAATGGGACGATTTAAACAATTATCTGGCCTGCCTGTCCCAGTGCCAATCACACGCTGGGGCTCTGGGAGCAAGCCTTTGTGGCTTCCTTGAAAGGAAAACGCAGCCTTGAAAATTAAGGAAAGGTCATACAGAGATGACAGTAAATCTGATAGAAAATAGCGTCTAGTTTGCAGATGCAAGTCTAGACCCAGCAAAAAGTTTATTTTTTGTTGTAAGATCCCATTGTAAAGATTAATTTTATTCACGTGCTCTTATCTTACGGAGTTTGGACGTGAGGAAGTCTGGATGTAATAATTGGCACATCAACAAAAAAAAAAAAAAAAAATCCAAAATTGTATTACATGTAAATGTTTGATCTATAGGCTGAACAATAATTCTAAAATTGTGAGTTTTCTCTACCTGATTTCGTGCGCTCAACTCTGAAGTCTCCGCTTGCAGTGCTGTCCGACTCCAAACTTGCTCCCTCTGCGTTTGGCACAGGAAACTTCTCCTTAGTGATGGAAAGTTCGTTCACCCTTTTGCTGTTGAATTTGTTGGGATCCAATATATCAATTATAGAAAATGAAATTTTGTGACTGGACGTCATTGTCACTCCACAATCCTTGGCTTCCAGCATCCTTTATACAGAAAGCTTTAAAGAAGGAAAACAACCGACGTGCGTAATTACGCGTGTGGAGAGGAACTTCGCATAGTTTAGCCTACTTCTTGTCTTCAAGCTTCATCAAACCGGATTAGTGCTGATGGTCCTTCGGAGTGTGGACTTGGCTCCTCTGCTTCTGTCTGTCAGTCTTGCAGCTGAATGAGATGACCGGAGCGCGGTCTTTAAAGCGTCTGTCCCCCAGTCTCTCAGCCAGACACGTGACACAAACACTATTAGTGTTTCACACGACCACCTAATGGGCTCAAAGCATTCGTCGATAATCACCCATATCATTAAATTCAATAATCCACGACCTGAAAGTAAATTGGGCACAGATGGCACTTGATCCATATCAGAGATCGCCCTGTCTCCCTAAATTGGACCATTTTAGATGCCTTACTGCCAGGAAGGGGATTTTCGTGTCCCCTGAGCAACAGAAAAACTTTCTCTTAATCGAAACCAAACGGTTTCTGCTTATAAACTATTTGTGGAAATGTTGCAGCACCAGGTTTCCTATCAGTGAAAAGCATAACTGTTTTAGTCAAAATGTAAAAATATTGAAATGTCACTATCCAATTTAACAGCGTCAGTATTGGAGGTGTCAGTAATGAGCACAGATGTCAGTAGATGGGTAGTAACTGAAAAATAAAATCAGACATATATCCAGGTGATATTTAGGTGTTCATATATTTTGGAGTAAATAGATGAAGATCATAAACTGATGTGGTGCTGTTAAAGTGGCATAATATAAAATGTATGTATAAATACAGGTCTGAAGTTACAATTGTTATATTCCTCCATCCCTTTTGCTTTGCTTATTCATAATTGCAGGTGTGTTCTGCAATGAATTTCATATTTTGTTGTTGTTATCGTTATTTTCATGATGATGATATTCCCAGTCTAGCATCTCCAGTATTATTTACACTGCAGTGCAGCACACTGCAGCACGTTTCATACAGTTTAATGACAGAGAATCACACCTGAGATTGAAATGTTTGTTGTTTTGTTTTTTTGATTTGGAGAAAATAGTTTATGCCCCATTTGCTTGCACTATCATGGTAATAGTCTATGCCAAATGACAGTAACTTCACTGGCTTATTAGAGAAAACTAACTGAGGATGTGACAGACTCAAAGGATCCCTGATGAATTACTATTCTGTGTGCATCTTTAGAAACATTCAAAGCTAAATTGCAGCCATACAATGAAAACAGCTGATTGTTTTCTCACCTAAGGTGATAGATTTATATTCACAATCAATCAGCTCCCAGGTCTTTGCTATTAGTATTCAATATAAAGTGACATAGGGTTGTTTAAAGCTTGATGCCTGGTGATGGCTAAAATGGTGAAACCAGCAGAGGATCAATATTCTCAGCAGGTGTCCAATACAGATAAAACCTGATGGCTACACACAGTCATTTTGGATACTGGAAGGCCAAACCAGTAACTGCAACAGCACAGGAGGGTTTGTTAGAAGCTTTTTTTAACTCTTCATTCGTTGAATGACCCAAGTTATTTTTCATTTTCAGTTATTGCTTATTCCTATCATTTATTTCAAATTAGTATTTTGTAGTTTTGTAGAATTAGAATAGGTTCAAACTGGTGATAAAAACGTACTTTCCTCCTCTGCCAGCTGTAGCTTGGTGTAACTGTTTTGCTCCACTTGTTTATGCATTAACATATTTTACCATCAAAGCCTGTGAGGTCTACATTGTGTGTGCATGAGACAGAAGGCAGCGGGGCCATTTCTGTTTTTAGTTCTGTCCAGTGTTGGTAACATGGGGGATCACATCGTGTTTACACACTGTTAAAGGTCTCAAATTCCTCCCTATACAATTTCCTGTGTTACTTATACAGTTCTGGGTGATTACTCTGCTACATGGAGGTTTCATTGCTACCCTGTCATAGTCTGGTGGACTGGCATGGTGTGTAGTAGTTACATAGTCAAACATTTGTTAAAGCCGCCCCTACGGGGTGTCTGCGTGTCAGCATTTGCATGTGTATGGCACTTGCACGGCCATTACTGTAGCCCCTCCATATGAATAGGGCCCACTGCACACTGGAGGTTTACAACTTCCTACGAGAAAGCCCAGTGGCTGGACATCTGTTTGTGTGGGTCAGCGGGACAAAGGGACGAAGCCCCGAGGACAAAGAGGCCCTCAGGTAGACTTCAGACAGCGGGAACAGCAGCTGACTCAGCTCTGAGTCTGTACGGGCCAGAGCAAGACTCCAGAGAGGAGGAGTGCTCCCTGTTGGACACCGCAGGGAGCCAAAGAGACACACTTCCATCCAAGACCCCCCTCCAGGGTCAATAAAATCATTGCCTCACAGGGAGGCTGCCCCCAGTCTGCTAAACGTCAGATAATTTGTCTAATGGCAGGAGTGGCATTATGAGCTGCAGTTCTACTCACAGATTGTAGTGTCTATTGTTTCCTCTGAAGTCCTCCACTGTCTCCCCAGCTCTCCTGTTAAGTGGGACTCAAACAAAGGATCAGAAAGTGTCTAGTGGAGCATTAAGGGAAGCTGTTAGATCCTCTGTGTCAGATTCCTAAACTCTGTAGTAGTTGTGGTATTTAAGATTGGACATGTTTGGTCCCGTTGTTGTTGGGAGGATGCTCACGTTAGCATTTTGCTCACTGCACCACTGTGCCTTGAAGTATAGCCTCACATAGCTGTTAGCATGGCTGTAGACTCTTTAGTCTTGTTTGCATTAAAAGGGCTATTTGTAAGTTTTCTCTGCCGCCGATCGTGGTTTCTTGCAAGGAGCAGGTGGTGGTGATTGTAGTTTGACAAGAGCTTCGGTCATCATTGTGTTTATAAAATAGAGGTTACAGCACTCCTGCTGACAGTACTACGCCTTCTGGGCAGAGTGGAAGCTAAAGTGAGTCGCTATCAGAACGTGACAAAACGGACCGGGGCTAGTTGGTTAGCATGCTAACTTCAGTAGAAGAAAACGTGATTGAGACAAGAGTTAACATTGCTGTTGCTTTCTACTGCTGGAGACAGCTCTTAGTTAGTAAAGGAATGAAGTTTGATGCTGAACTCACAACATTTCTTCTAGACTGATGAGTAAATAGCTGTTGATTCAGACACTGGCTATGTAGCAATAGCAAATCTTACAAATATCTCCTTAAATGTCACATTAGCCTCTTGTAAGAATTATTGCGAACACTCTTCCTCCTTTGCTGCATGCAAGTGCATTTGACATTTAACTGTAATGTTTTTCTTGCATTAAGCTTCCAAATCCACATCATACTTTTCACAGCAGATCTTGAAGGCAACACCTGCAACCGATCAATGTAACTTTGACAAAAAAAAAAAAAAGCAAAGACTACTAAATGATCCCTGATGTAATACAAAACTCAAACAGCTTTTAAGCCTCTGCAAGTTCATTTTCATGCCATGCTGACATGAAACCACCCTCAGAATTTATTGTGGCCTATTATGTGGAGAATTGTCGGCACAACTTTTGGTTAATGAGTTACAACATGCAAAACCTCCAGTTTGTACATTTAACACTTCTTCTGTGCTTGTCCTTTAATCTGACCATTTAGAGGCAGTTATCTCAGAGTATTGAATCCTGCTGCTACCTATGTTTCTACTTTATCTGCACTCAGAAGCAGTTGGCATTGATGTGTGCCAGTATAGATCAATACAGTACAATCTTCCTGAACGGGCATAAAGCTTCCCTCATTTTGCCAAGTCTCTCCACTGCATGCCTGTGGGTTTTTGCCGCCAGCCCTCCTTTCAGTTAGACCTCTGTGTTTGTTTGACTCTCTCTGACAACAAGGTCAGTGGCATTGCCCAGTAATTGTCCTAACGGCCTGTATACCTGTTGGGTGGAGGCGAGTAATGAGAGTTTTTCATTACGGGCGGGACGGGTGAGTGCGCCTGGCAGATGCTGACAGGCAGCAGATGTGTAAAGTTGGGGGTGATTTGTAAAGGGGTCAACTGCATCACAGAGGAGATGGAGGGCGATGTGGGCTGGGGGTAAATTATGCTGAGGGACACTGTCAGTCATACTGCACCCCTGTCACAACAAGGTAAAGGTCAGTTCAAGCGCTGATGTTCTGAACTAACAGTCCAGCACAGTGCGGTCTTATCAGCAAACTTTCCACCACATACAGACTGGAGATGTATGGTTCAGAGTGGATCGCATGTCTTTAAGCCTTGTTCCAATTAGTTTTCAGGTGAAATCCGTCATTGTAGCTGTACGTGTAAAAAGTCTAAATTTATATGTGATTGTTATTTTGTGATTTAATGCTTGATATCTGTTTTTTTCCCTGCTCAGAAAATCTGAAAAATTCAACCAAAGTTTTCATGTGTGTACTGTTTCCATGTACTTTTTCATGTAGCATCCATGTTGAAGGAAAACAGCAATTTGTCCTGAATCCTGTCTCATTAATGACACACACAATGTGCAACGGTATCCTCAGGCATTCACATGTCTTTGCAGATACACATGGATTCAGAAATCAATGAAAATGATCCTCAGTTATGAGATAGCGTTGGGTGACCGACCAAGGATCAGAGCATTTGATCTCATTTATTTTTTTCAAGCTCAGTCTCATTGGTAATGGTATAATTATTAAGATAGTTAAATACTAAAATAAGGATTACACTTTGGGAAAGATTACGAAAAGGTTAAGGCACAAGGACTGGGTACAAAGTGAGGCTATTTTAGCCTAATGTCCCGGCTAGACATAAAGATTGTTCAGTCTGTAAATTAGGCTACACAGGTATTTTGGTGGACTTGTCTTGTCCACATAAAAACTGCAATTACAGCCACATGGAGGTGAGTGTTGTGGTGAGCAAGAGGAGAGTGTACATAATGAGAAAGACCAAGAGAAAATGGACAGAAAGAGCTGCAGCTTCCTGTTTTTCCACAAGGCTGAGGGCCTGCCTGTAATGGCTCTGTGGTGCCTGGCATCTGCACAGAGCGTACTGTCACTCAACGTGAGCATTGATTAGCCATTGT